TGTGGACCCTGCAAACAGGGAGAAGTGAAGTTGCCATGCAAGTCACCCTTTGGCCCAGCAGTAGATCTGGTGCCTTGCAGGCTGGTTTCCTGTTGTAGGAGAAATCAGTGGCGTGGATCTGGGGATGTTCTTGGTGTAACTTGTTCCTTTCATCCACCAGTCCCTGAACAGAGCTGGTCCCAAATGGCATGCGGGCAAGGCCCTTTTCCAGGGAGCTCGGCCCGAACACCAGTGCCTGGCTCCCAGCAAGGGACTCTGCCCCAAGAACTGCCTCTAATTAGTGAAATTAACGCAGAGAGCAAATTCTTTTGTTGATTGTATCAGCTTCCCCAAGGAATCTGCACCACACTACAGCGCCATCCGGTGATCACTCCATAACACTAGCTGGACAGGGCTTTTGGAACCCCCAGAAATAGCTCGGGGTCTAACATTGTTCCTCAGAGAGAGAGCCATGGAGAGGGTGCAGCTTACTTCCCTGCTCTCACCTAGCCAGTTACAGACAGAGATTGTAGCAGAACCAGGCTTAGAGCCCATTTTTTCTGTGTCCCGAGCTAATGCCTTAAGCACCCAAGACTATCATTCTCTTCCTTCGCAGTTTGGTCTGTGCACTGACTGAAGCAGAGGCCAAGTTAAGAAAATACTGTGTGAGCAGGTAGCTAAAGACTGTAGGACAATTCCTATGCGCCCAGTGGTCCTTCTGAAACGCTCTTGACAAGAGGCAGGAACCATATCTTCTCTCTGTTCCCATTGACAAGGGGCATTTCCCAATAGAACAGAAGTTGCTTATTTATGGGGGAAACTGAGTTTTGGTGAGCTACAGAATTGCCTGTTTGGTTCAGGCTTGTTTGGTTTTAAGTTAGTTCTGCTGCATGCTGTCACAAAGATGCATGCCTCCCGGGTGAATCAGTCCCTCCGGCTTCAAACCAGAACTGTTAGCTTCCAGACATAAATCTCACAAGTGTTCCTGGCACCCTAAGAAAGCACAAGACATCTGTTTTCCTATTATTTTGTAAAACTGAAGTGGAATATAGCTCTGGTTCCAAAAGGACTTAACATGAGCTATGGAATCCCTCCCAGGATTTCCAAAGTAATCACAGCCCTTGCTTGTCATACTCCGCATTGAATTATTCTCTTACAAGTAGTTCACAGAAAGCCGTCCTTGAAGTAAGAATTTCTTTATTAGGATGAAGGACTCAAGAGTCTGGTCACATGAAAAGCAAAATCTGCAGAAAGTCTTGATCTGCACCGGACAGATCTTACAAAGAATGTTCCACCAAAGCCACTGGGAGGTTTGTCTGGAAGCAGCATCAAGGCTCAAATCTGGAGCCAGATTCAACCCGTAAGCCCAATGCTGGGCTAAGCAGGAACACATTCAATCAGCGTGAATCCCAGTAAAACTCAATTCTTTAAGTTCATGAAGATTTTTATCAAGAACTGGGAGTGCAATGTAGCTAGTAGGGTTGATTTTTAGTGTCTGCCCATTGTAATTAGAGGGCAGTGCTAACCAATGAGGACTAAAATATTGGAAAAGGAAGAAAACATGAGTGACTTCCAGCTACAACAGGAAGACTTCTTGTTCAGCTTTGTGTGAGCATGGAAAATAACTCTCCTACGACCAAGATTCCTGATCAGCAGAACAGGATCTCCAGTCTGTCCCCCAAAACACTCTCTCTGAGGAGATATTTTTTTCCACAGTAATAACCCAACCAGGAGAGACAGTTTAACAAATCAAAGGCAATCGGAACGGATTTGGGTCTGGCAGAATGAAACATCGTAACAAGTGATTGCGCAATACTCTGCAAAATACAGAATGACTCCTTTTGGGGAGGTTTGTGTCTTCTACGCCAACATGTGTTTACTGGAAAGGAGTTCTATGAGACAAGAAATTTCCACTTTGAACTCCTCTCGCACACTTAACAGGTAGATTTATTGATAAATATTGTACAGAGCATCTCCATGGAATGGTACTGGCAGGTTTGAGATCTACTGATGAAAAGTGCTACAGGTGGTATTACCCAGGCGCCGTTGCCTGTGATGAGATGATGGCTAGTACCTGTAGCCAGATTCCCAGATAGAGCAGTGTTTAATGAGCATTGCCGTGGGTCAGTATTCTGGTTGTCATTGCCTTGACTAGGAGTCAAGATAATGCCCATATTTGGAGGGCCTAATGTAGAAGTATCTCAAATGGCACACTCTTCCCTCCATGCAGCACCCATTGATGGGAACTGGGGTGGCTTTTCACCTTCTCTGCAGACACCAGGTGATCGTAGCCACCCTGTGCTCTTAAGGGGATAGCTAGCGGCCCCACTCCCCAACATCCTGCCTCTTTGCTGGCCCTCTAAATTCCCAGGGTCCAAACTCTGAAAGCTCCCACTGATTACAATGCCTCAGCACCTCTCAGGATATGGATCTGGCCAAGTTGCCACTAGCACGCAGAGGGTACTAAGTGCTAGACTGAGATGGCTGATATTCATGTGGTTCATACCTCTGAGTACACTTGGATCCCCTTTGGTTTCTTTTTCATGTGGACTGATGCACATAAGCACTGTGCAGGGAATATGGAAGTTAGTAGCATTGAGATTCAGATGGACAAATCCCTGTTCATTGATCTGAAAATCTGCACCACCTGTCTATTCTCTAGGCTTATTCCCCAGAAATGGTCAGCTATCATCTTCACTAGTCAGTTTTTGGTGTGAGCCCATTTGGATAAAATGAGAATCGCTCTGGAACCTCAGGAACTGAACTTTTCACAAGATCTGAAATAATTGGGGTGACTTCAGTTTCCATCTTTGCAGACCCCTGCTCACCTGGGTTGTGGAAGGGAAAGCTCTTGAATCTCATAAGAGAGCCTGAGACAAGGTGGGTGAGGTAATATCTTACATTGGACCAACTTCTGTTGTACGTGACCAAACACACCAAGAAATCTCTTCTGTACAGCCAGGCAATCAGATACCACAGAATTTGCTTCAAAGAGAAAGTCCGGGAGATACATCTAAACACACATCTAACTCCCTTCACCAAACAAGAACACCCAACCAGAATAGTAGATCGCATCATGCAATGGCCCACCCAAATACCCTGAGAGAACCTTCTTTAATACAGAAATAAAACCCCCTCCAACAGCACACCCCTAGTTGTCACCTACCACCCCAAACTGGAACCTATATGGGGTATCCTCAAACAACTACAACCCATATTCAGTGGGGACCCCATCCCAAAAGAAATCTTTCCCAGTTCCATCTTCTGGCCTTCAAACACCCCCCCTGCCCCCGCAACCTCTCCAAGCTCATCTGAAGCAAGCCCCCCACGGACCAGGACACACCAACTCAAAGCAGCACCAGACCCTGCCAGAGCAACAGATCCAAAACCCGTGGACATATTTCCACTGCCATGATGCTCAACACACCTTTCAAGATCCATGGATCCTGCACATACCTATCACAACATGTGGTGTACCTCATCCAGTGCACTAAATGCCCCCATAACAACTATGTGGGTAACACCAGACAATCACTATGTGCTCAAATGAAGTGACACAAACATGATAAAAGATAAAAACACCTTATCACCTCTGGAAACTGAATATAGTTGAGAAACCATCTTGAACAACATCTGTACCTTGCTAGATTGTTGTAGACTTTTAGATGCGCGTTTTCACACTTATTTGCTTGCCACCCTTTCCAACTTTATTCCTTTTGTTTGACATCCTTTAACCTGTGCCCTATTGTTACTACAGTTGTTTTATCTTTACTATAAACCAGCTCAGTGCTGTGTTTAAATAGAAGGGTGTATTTACCCCAGTTAAGTTAGTAAGCTGTGATGTGCTTTTGTCTCTTTAGAGGAACAAACAAACCTTTTTAGTTCTCTGAATTGTCCAGGAGAAGACTGGACATTGCAACGCATGTGGTTTTGGGAAAATTTGGGATGGGGAGTGTGTTGGGGTCACCTTTCTTGTTATAACCCAGGCTGGTGGAAGCCACAATAGGGTTGTGGGGCTGTACGCAGGTAGCTGGGGTCAGAATTGCAAGACCAGGGCTGTGGCTATACACAGACACCCAGGATGTGACCTGCAGGAGCCCAGGCTGAGAGCTACAGCAGCAAAGCATTGTGAGACCCCCCAGGGGTGCATGACAAGTGGTGACATAATACATCACAGGTCAGGGCATGGCTTTTCTGCCATTTCTTTCTATAAGTTGAATTTGATACATCCTCGGCCACCTCACAAATTCACCTGGCAATTGTCTTTGCTTAGGAAAGGCTCCAGCAATGGGGTGACTGCTGGCCTAGTGCTAGATTGGCAGCGTGACGTAGCACTGGCAGTTAGCCATGCGACAATGTGCCTGGAACTTGCTGGTGATGCCACATTGACTCGGTCTTTCTGAGGGACTAAACTTCACCGGATCCCCCTTGTGTGTAAATAAAACAGGGTTACAAAATGCTGGGGACACGGGGGGATGAGGGTGGGTGAAGGGGTTGCTGATTTTGGCTGGACTTATTCCTGGAGGTTTAGTCACATGACATAATATTTAATTAACTATTAATATCTAATTCCTGGAGACTCCAGGATAGTCCCGGAGGGTTGGCAAGGAAGGGGGCACTAGGCGCATCGCTGAGCTGGGGCTGCAGGGAGGAATTGCAGAATGGGACAATGCTGGAGGGGTTGAACTTCTGTTGCTACAGTTAAAAATATGAGTGGATTTTCACGAGCTCATTGAGATTAGTGCGGCACCTCTGGCTGCTCACTTTGGTTACTGTGTTGCAGTTACTTGACAGCATATACCTGAAAAGGCCTGGGTGTGCCAACGAAACTGCTCAGAACTGCCCTGAACATACATAGACCATGTACATAGGAGGGGAAGCGGGCGCTGGAATAATTGCTCGCTAATTGTGCTTAATGAGTGGTCCCTCCGTTGCTGGCAGCTGCAGATAAAGGGAGCTAACGCACCGTTGCGTGACGTGCATGCTCAGCGCTGAAACAGCTGTCTCTTTCTTTTTCACAGAACTGTCTCAACAAACAGCAGCTCCTGGCTGCCATCCGCCAAATGCAGCAGTTCTTAAAGGGGCAGGAAACGCGGTTTGCAGAGGGAGTGCGCGTCATGAAGAACCGGCTGATAACTCTGCAGAACTCGGTGACAAAAGCTGCCCCAGACCCACAATCCGGTAAAAACCCACAGCTGGCCTTTCAGCAACAAGAGCAGCCATAGGGCATCTGGCTGTGGTGTAGACTAGTACCGACAGGCTGCTTGCCCCCCACCCCCAGGCCCCGGCAGGGAGAGCGAGGGCCTGGCAAGCTAGCTCTTGGCACATCCCGCTGCCCACCATGTCACACTGCACTATGGACTGCCAAGACCTAGGGATGCGCTGCCCCTCTCTCTTTCCCCCCCCCCCTCATTTTTGGAAGAGAAGGGGAACATGTGTCCCACCCAAATGGCTCCATACATTGTGGGACAGCCCCAATATGCCTTTTCTCCCCAAACCAGTCCATCAGTCTCATCCCATGGTTGTACACGGCACTTTGCACACAGATCGGTAGGTCAGGAATCTGCCCCAAAGTAACTACAGTCGATCATATTCAGTGCGACATGCTCTTCCCACACAACCAGCTCAAGCCTTATGACCGTATAGTAGCCCATGATCTTAATTTTAGATCTTAAAATTAGGTCAGTATATTTATAGTGCTCTCTTGCTAAATCCTCTTTCCTGTTTCTCTCTCGGGGGGATGCTTGGTCTTCATATACAGTGGAGACACATGCAGTAATAAATATGTCTCTCCATGGTCTAGAATGATACTCAGTTTTCTCAGCACATGATAAGCAGAAATCATATTTTATGTGGAAAACAATGGCGACTAAAAGCTTTACTTCTCATGCATGGTTTGCAGTGTCACAACACTGTAGAAACTGAAGACTTGTCTACACGGGCACTGTACAGCACTGCAACTTTCTTGCTCAGGGGTGTGAAAAACACCCCCCTGAGCGCTGCAAGTTTCAGCACTGTAAAGCGCCCGTGTAGACAGTGCACCAGCTGACAGTGCAGATGGCACTGGTAGCTACGCCCCTCATGGAGGTGATTTTTGAAGAGCGCTGGGAGACTTCTCTCCCAGCGCTCTGCCATGACTACACAAGCCATGTTAAAGCCCTGCCATGGCCGCGCTTTAACCTTGCCAGTGTAGACAAGCCCTGAGAGATGTCAGGTGATATTTATAGAAGCATCTTAGGAAAACAAGTCCCATTGAAATTTAAGTCACTTAGGGTCTTTTGAGCCCCCGTCATTCTTACTTAATTCTCTTACGTCTATTGAAAGGAAGGTAGTTTACATATTGACTCTCAAGTTTCCAGGCCTTTTCACTGAGACACTGCGTATCATTTTACATTGCTGGCATCTAAAATTAAAAAAGTCATAGAGGAGCTTTTAAACTAAGGGCTGGGGGGAAAGCTGACACGTACAGAGGAGAACGCAGTTTGGCTGGAGACATCCCTTAGGGGAGGAGTAAAGGGATACTCAATATACTAGTGAAGAGGAGAGGATAGAAGTTGATTAAGTACGGGTCGGAATTGAAGAGAAACAGTCAAATGAAAAAGAGTCCCATTCAATTACATCACAAGAAGGCAGACAACCAAACGCTGACAAATTTTATAAGTCCTTATATACAAATGCTAGAAGTCTAAATATTAAGATGGTGAATTTGAGTGCCTGGTATTAAATGAGGATAGTGATATAATAGGTATCACAGAAATTTGGTGGAACAATTGATAATCAATGGGACACAGTAATACCAGGGTACAAAATGCATTGGAATGACAGAATAGGTCATGCTGGTGTGGGAGAGGCCCTACATGTGAAAGAGAGCATCTTAAGTGAATCAAACTGTACCATAGAATCTCTATGGAGAGAAATTCCATGCTTGAACAATAAGAGTATAGCAGTAGGAATATACTACCAACCATCTGACCAGTATGATAACGGTGACTGTGAAATGCTCAGGGAGACTAGAGAGACTACAAAACCAGAAAACCCAATAATAATGGGGAATTTCAACTATCCCGATATTGATTGGGAACATGTCGCCTCAGGACGGATGCAGAGAAAATTTCTGGACACCATTAAATGACTGCTTCTTGGAGCATTTTGTCCTGCTACCCACAAGGGGAGAGGCAATTCTTGATTTAGTCCTAACTGATGCATAGGATCGTGTCCAAGAGATGAATACAGAAACCCACTGCGATAGCATTTAACTTCAAAAAGGAGAACGACACAAAAATGAGGAAATGAGTTAAACAGAAATTAAAAGGAAGAGTCACAAGAGTGAAATGCCTGCAAGTGTCATGGAAACTACTAAAAAAACACCATAATAGAGGCTCAAACTACAGATATACCCCAAATTAAAAAAAAGTATGATAAAAAAAGCCACCATAGCTAAACAGGTTTCAGAAGGGTAGCCATCTTAGTCTGTATCCGTAAAAACAACGAGGAGTCCTTGTGGCACCTTAAAGACTAACAAATTTATTTGGGCATAAGCTTTTGTGGGATATAGCCCATTTCATCAGATGCATGGAGTGGAACATACAGTAAGCAGGTATAAATATACAGCACATGAAAAGATGGGAGTTGCCTTACCAAGTGGGGGGTCAGTGCTAAGGAGGCCAATTCAGTTAGGGTTGATGTGGCCCATTCTCAACAGTTGACAAGAAGGGGTGAATATCAACAGAGGGAAAATTACTTTTTGTAGTGCTAATGAGGCCAGTTCAATCAAAGTGGATGTGGCCCATTCCCAGCCGTTGACAAGAAGATGTGAGTATCAACAGAGGGAAAATTATTTTTTGTCGTGACCCAGCCACTTACAGTCTTTATTCAGGCCTAATTTGATGGTGTCAAGTTTGCAAATTATTTCCCGTTCTGCAGTTTCTCATTGGAGTCTGTTCATAGCTAAACAGCAGAGGAAGACTCAGAGGCAAAAAGGCATCCCCTAGAAATTGGAAGTCAAATCCTACTGAGGACAATAGAAAGAGGCATAAACTCTGGCAAGTTGACTATAAAAGTATAGTTAGGCAGGCCAAAAAAGAATTTGAAGAGCAACTAATTTTTGTGTCTTTTGCTAACAACAAAATTGTCTACAAGTACATCAGAAGCAAGAAGTCTGCCCAGTAGTCAGTGGAGCCACTGGATCGTCAAGGTGCTAAGGGCGCACTCATAGAAGACAAGGCTGCTGTGGAGAAGCTGAATGAATTCTTTGCATCGCTCTTCATTGCAGAAGATGTGCGGGAGATTCCCACACCTGAGCCATTCTTTTTAGGTGACAAATGTGAGGAACTGTCCCAGATTGAAGTGTCAGTAAAGGAAGTTTGGAACAAATTGATATATTAAATGGTAATAAGTCACCAGGACCAGATGCGATTCACCCCAGAGTTCTAATGGGACTCAGATATGAAATTGCAGAAAAACTAACTGTGGTATGTAACGTATTACTTAAATCAGTCTCTGTATCAGATAACTGGAGGGTAGCTAATGTACTGCCGAGTTTAAAAAAAAAAGTTCCCAAAGTAATCCCGGCAATTACAGCTCGGTAAGCCTAACTTCAGTACCAGGCAAATTAGTTGATACTATAGTAAGGAATAGAATTATAAGACACATAGATGAACACAATATGTAGAGGAAGAGTCAACACAGCTGCACCAATCTATTAGAATTCTTTGAGGGTGTCAGAAAGCATGTGGACAAGGGTGATTCAGTTGATATAATGTACTGAACTTTCAGAAAGCCTTTGACAAGGTCCCTCACCAAAGGCTCTTCAGCAAAGTAAGCTGTCATGGGATAAGAGGGAGGTCATATCATGGATCAGTAACTGTTTGAAAGTTAGGAAACAAAGGGTAGAAATAAATGATCAGTTTTCACAATGGAAAGTGGTAAATAGCAGGATCCCCCCAGGATCAGTACTGGGACCAGGGCTGTTCAACATATTCATAGATGATCTGGAAAAAGGGTGAACAGTGAGGTGGCAAAATTTGCAGATACAAAATTATTCAAGTCAAATCCAAAGCTGACTGCAAAGAATTACAAAGGGCTCTCACTAAACTGGTGACTAGGCAACAAAATGGCAGATGAAATTCAATGTGGATAAATGCAAAGTAATACACATTGGAAAACATAATCCCCACTATACATAGAAAATGATGGGGTCTAAATTAGCTGTTCCCAGTCAAGAAAGAGATCTTGGAGACATTATGAATAGTTCTCTGAAAACATCCAGTCAATGTGCAGTGGCAGTCAAAAATGCTGATTAGGAAAGGGATAGATAATAAAACAAAAATATCAAACATCACTTGATATATCCATGGTATGCCCACACTTGAATACTGCATATAGCTTTGGTCACCCCATTGCAAAACTAAGAAGCTATACTTGAATTAGAAAAAGTACACAGAAGTGCAGCAAAAATGATGAGGGGCATGGAAGAGCTTCCATATAAGAAGCGATTAATAAGACTGGGACTGTTCACCTTAGAAAAGAGAGGAATAAGGGGGGATAGGATAGAGGTGTATTAAAATCATGAACCGGGTGGCACAAGTAATATAGGAGTGTTATTTTCCTCTTCACATAAAACCCAAACGTGGGCTCACCCAATGGAATTAGTAGATAGCAGGTTTAAAACAAACATATGGAAATACTTCTTCACATAGCTCACAGTCATAGAATCATAGAATCTCAGGGTTGGAAGGGACCCCTGAAGGTCATCTAGTCCAACCCCCTGCTCGAAGCAGGACCAATTCCCAGTTAAATCATCCCAGTCAGGGCTTTGTCAAGCCTGACCTTAAAAACCTCTAAGGAAGGAGATTCTACCACCTCCCTAGGTAATGTATTCCAGTGTTTCACCACCCTCTTAGTGAAAAAGTTTTTCCTAATATCCAATCTAAACCTCTCCCACTGCAACTTGAGACCATTACTCCTCGTTCTGTCATCTGCTACCATTGAGAACAGTCTAGAGCCATCCTCTTTGGAACCCCCTTTCAGGTAGTTGAAAGCAGCTATCAAATCCTCCCTCATTCTTCTCTTCTGCAGGCTAAACAATCCCAGCTCCCTCAGCCTCTCCTCATAAGTCATGTGTTCTAGACCCCTAATCATTTTTGTTGCCCTTCGCTGAACTCTCTCCAATTTATCCACACCTGTTAGTCAACCTGTGGAAGGAACTCGTTGTTGTGAAGGCCAAAAGGATAATTGAGTTAAAAGAGAATTAGATAAGTTCATGGAGGATAGGTCCATCAATGGCTATTAGCCAAGATGATCAGGGACGGAAGGTCATGCTCTGGGTGTCCCTAAATCTTTGACTGCAAGAAGCTGGGACTGGATGACAGGTGATGGATCACTCACTAATTGCCCTGTTCAGTTTGTTCCCTCTGAGCATCTGGCACTGGCCACTGTTGGAGGATGGGATACTGGGCTAGATGGACCATTGGTCTGACCCAGCATGTCTGTTCTTTTGTTCACATTCTTTTGTTATTACTTGATCTTCATGGTTGTGACTTACATCCATCCAACAAGACCTAATGGCTGGAGCTCAAGCTAAATTAAATGCGGCTAGAGATAAGGTACACATTTTTAACACAGAATGGGAATTAACCACAGGAACAACTTACGTCACCTGCAGTATGTAAATCAAACCTGGATGTCTGTCTAAAAAAATCACTGTAGCTCAGACTCAAGTTATTGGGCTGGATGCAGGAGTCACTGGGCAAACTTCTCTGGCCTGGGTGATGCTGGAGGTCAGAGTAGATTATCATAATGGACCTTCCTACCTTGAAATCTATGAGGTGCCTTGCACCTCATTTGCACAGTGCAAATGTCTCCCCAAGGAGCTAGGGAGTGGAGAATCAGGCCCTTCCAATGCAGTCTCATATGATTAAACTTTCTAGGGAAGCGTGTACAACAATTGTTCTGAGCCAGGAGACTTAGGTTCTTTTCCTAACTCACGACAATGAGATGGAATTGGATGCTACCCTGCTACCGGATGAATAGCCTGTACCTTTTGCGTCAAAGTCTCTTTCACCTACAGAGCAGCAGTACACACAGAATGAAAGTCTCTCACAACGGCATTTCCATGAGAGACGTGATCTGTACATGTATGGTCAAAATGTGGTCATTTTATCAACTCAGCCAACAAGCTGCTTTCAGAAGCCCTTATGGTGAGCTCTGAAACAACTCCAACATAGCACTAATTCTGATCTCCCAGACATCCATGGAAAGTCTCACATTAGGTTCAATCCAGCTCCCACTGAAATTAAACTATCAAAGGATGTTCCTGGCAAATGTTACCCCTCTGTTCTAACTTTTGCCAGTCACTGTCCATCTCTCTTCCACTGCAGGGTTCTTTTCTGGGTGTTGTTTGGCCCAGGCACGAGCAGACAGGGCATGTCATCTATTGTAAGTAGAATGCACATCCAAATGGCAAGGTGTAAATGAAAAGCCCTATGGTTTCCTTTTCAGTTTCATGGTATCGTTTGGATGTTACTGATTCACTTTCTTATCTGACATTGCTGTAACGTAACAGAATTGATAGTGCACTAAATGGCATACCCAGAACCAAGAGCTTTGACTTAGCAGAAGTGCCTTTGGCCAAACAGCTTCACAACGCAGGTGAAGATTCGGATAGCTGGCCTTATCTCTGAGAGCTGGCTGAGTGTTATCTGGGAGCTTTGCCACTGCAGGTGAAGAGTGTCTGAGAACATTTCTGAGAATGCCGAATACAATTCACTGCTGCCCTGTGATGCTAATAAAACAATGGAACAGTGAACGAAGTCAAATCCCAGTAGCCTTTCTCCGGAGCTGACTCGCCTCTGGGAGCCTGCAAACCCCGCCCCACTCAGGTTCCCCCACCCTCTGCTCTGCTAATGGTACAACAATAGCCCTTTCATTCACAGACCTCTTTACCTTCTGCGCTGCTGCCCCTCTGCCTGGAATGGCCTCCCAACGCCTGTCACCCGGCTGGGGTGGCGCCCTTGGAGAACCCCACTCTGCAGGTGCTGGGTGAGCCTTCGAAACCATCTCACCTTTTACCAGCCGTTTGAAACATTAACGGCGGTGACACAAACCAGCCCCTGCCACAGTCCCTCTTGCTGCTGCCCTGGACTTGCAACAGGGAGGCATTCAAGGGGGGGCACGTTTACATAAAGCACCGGGGCTAGGACACTGGAATATTGAGCCACTCCATGGGGGCTGGCGCTGTTGGCATCACCATGCATTCGGGTACGGCCGTTCATTATGGGCTCACACACTGGATCCCTGCCTCGTTCAGTGGGCAGGTTGGACACACAAGGAGGCTGAATGAAGCTTGCATGGGCCTCCGTATATCTGACACTTGTGACTGTTGATTGCTTGACATGGCAACCTAAACTTTTCACACAGTTTGTGCAGGTGTGAGATCCCCTGCCTATTGGAGTCAGTGGCAGGAAGCATTACACCCTGTAGCGTTGGCAGGATCAGGTCCTCAAAAGTATAGGCCGCAGAGCCAGAGGGGCCTCTCAGGCCATGGGCCAACCGCTTTTTGGGCAGGCCGCATCTGAGTGGTGCTGCGACCCTGCGCTGTCATGACAGCAGTGCCGGCAGGCCAAAGTTAAGAGAGTGAGGTTGCGACCTGGCACACAGGGTGGCAGCACCACACGGATTTGGAGGGGGTGGGTGTAGGGACTCATGGGCCGGGGGAGTCAGACCGCTGGGGGGAGAGGCACGTGAAACAGCAAGGGGAGGGTTGGGGGGAATCTATGCCCCACCACGCTACGTGGCGCTCTACAGCCCCTGCTTAAGAGGTGCTTTTTTGGCATCTAGCAAGGGGGCATTTTACTCACCGCACAGACGCGTTTCTCACTCTGGGGAAAGTGAAGCAGCTTCATGTAAAACAGAAAGATGGCCAGATTTGCTGCTGCTCTAAACTGACTTCAAGGGTGCGGCACCGGTTTACTCCAGCAGAAGATTTGGCCCAGAGCGTGTAACCATAAGGCAATTTTTACAATTGCGTGTTATCAAATGCTTCATCCAGCCAATGGCTACTCAGAGCAGGGACCTCCCAGACAGTACAAGTAGGGATGTCATGGAGTCTTCCGTTGCGAGGTATCAGCTCATTCTTTCTTTCCTTTCCTACATGACTAACCGTCGGGGCACTAAGATAAGTCTGTCATGAAATAGGCCAGCGGGCTCTGAACGCCAATCTATTATTGATGTGCTGATTTTCTTTGCTGAGGACAGAGCATTCTTTAATGGTACAGCTATTTCACTCTCCTCGTGTGGTTTGTGGATTTTTTGTAAATGTCAATACTTCACTTTTCTTTTTTGCTTTCAGTCAGAAGACAGCATCTGGAGGAGTGGGCTCTGCCAGCTGATGTTTCATACACTTTTTCTCTGTTGATTATTTCATACCTAATGTAAAATAAACTGTGTATTTTGGGGGCAGATTCTGAGGGCCTTTGTCTAGTTGAATAATGCCTTACTCTGAGAGTAACCCTACTGAAGTCAATGGAACCACTTCCAGCCTCAAATATCGCTCACTATGAATAAAGGTCTTAGTATCTGGCCTGTTCTTCATAAAATTCTCCTTTGTGAGGATCCATGTCAGATTCTAGGTCTTTCACTATTTAAACACAGGAGGCACGCCATGGCTTGACCAACACCCCAGGGTAACAACTACCTCAGTGATATCTCTGTTGATCCTGAAAAAGGCATCTTGCCTAACTAATCTAGAAACTATGCTGTAGGTTTCCACAATTGCTCAGGCTGTCCGAGGTGGTCGCTTTGTTACTCCATGGGAACAATACTGAGCTGAGAGGCAGAAGACTGTAAGCCAGCTGGCTGTCCGAGTACTCCAGGGGTGGTTAGCATACTGAGTATTTAACGTCAGCATTTCCCACTGTGCTTTTGCAGTGTCCTGCCCTGCACTGGATGCCCCCGTGGATGGCAGAAGATTTGGTACCAAGTACTTTGTGGACCATGAAGTCCATTTCACCTGCGAACCTGGTTTTCAGCTCACTGGTTCCAGCACCCGAGTGTGTCAGGCAAATGGCAGCTGGACTGGAGAAGCACCGCGGTGCAAAGGTACTTTGCCTTTTCATGCCCTTGGTTTGAGTGTGTGAGCCCATCTTCATGTCACTGCACAGGCCCATGCATGCCATGGTTAGAGAACAAAACCAGTGTAGCTACCCTACTGTAAAGTGTCATAACTCGTTAGTGTGGATGGTTGGTGTGCAGGAAAGACTAATGCATAGCCTGGGTTCTCTTTGATGCTATTGCTTCCCCTTGGCTTGTCAGTTATCTCCCCAACTTCAGCTTCTTGCATAGTAAGTGTGGTAATGAGGGGGGAGGGGTTGTTTTATCCATTAAGGATTCTTCTCCTGAATCTTAGCAACCTTACGCTCTTTACGGGCTGGTCCTGTGACCTCGGCATTTAGCTTAGTGATGTTCTGTTCTTTACAAATACCAACTCCCCAGGGACAGGAGATGTGGAGATGCCACAGCTGGTCCTCTCCTGCCTGCAGAACTCACAGCTGGCCTTTGCAGGTCTCAGCAAGCCCATGCATTTGGAGCTGTGCTTGGACAGTCTCCACTGAACTGGAAAAGTCATTCAGTGTGTCCCCCTCTTCAGCATTGAATAATAATGGTTGGGTACATTGCGTTGTGTACCAGTAGTTCGGCTGGTTTCCAGCTCTGCGTAACAGGGGTCCCAGGCTCTAACAGTGAACCTCGCATCTGTTCCACTTTTCTTGTCCTGAGTCCATGTGAGTTTCATTTATTGTGCTCAGGGCTGAAGCTCTGAGCACAAAACCAACTCCTTAATAGACAGTTTATTTCATAACAATAAATATCAGGGTCTGAAGCAGCTGGCGCATCACATTCATAATAATTCCCCTCAGATGCTTATTTGGACGGCTGCCTTTCTGTCCAACATGTGATTGATTCGAATTGGCAAACAAGAAAATTATATCTAATTACCTCTATTAAAAATAATTTCCTGGGCAGAAATATGTTTCGTGGTGGTTAGCAGGCATTTGGCTTAATGCGGTTGCACAAAAAAGGATTTTTTTGGTTTTTTTTCAAAGTATGTTTTCCAAAACCACAAGACTGATTGAAACTAGTATTCAAAGCCTACAGCGCCCACTGTGGCGCTCTGACCACCGAAGTAACTCAGCAGAAATACAATCCCCACAAATTGCCATGCAGCGCAAAGAAAGACTTTGCCCCGATGCAGCACTCCTGCGCTCAGGGGCACTGTTCTCAGTGTGGGGTCGCAGGTTCTGTTCCCAGCTCTCTGCCACTCAGTCATTTTGTGACTCTGTGCAGCTCGTTTAACGTCTCTATGGCTCTGTTCCCTCCTCTATATAATGGGGAGATGACACACCCACAGGGAGATCCTCAGCTGAAAGACCCTCTCTACGTGCAATGGCTGGAGAATACATTTACTTTGAAACTGTTGCTCTCCCATGTATATTTCTAATTCACAGATATGTTATTGTAACGACATCTGAGCTTTCTACCAGCAGGATCCATGCTCTCGTCTTCCTTTTGAGCCAAATTCTGATCCAATTTACACCCGTTTAAAATTGGCATAACGCATTGTCATGTAACATGTCTCTCATTTCGAGGATACTGGTTATTCTTCCTGTTAAACACTGTGTATTTCAGGGATGTGGCACAGGTGGGAGGCGCTAGTTTGCAAGGGCACTTTTATACCAGTTTGTCCTCTGGCACCAAGTGTTTTTCAAGATTGACCCTCCAAAGTAGCACGCGTGAGCCCGTGGAGCCAGGGCTGTTTGCCAGGTGGGAATGGAGAATCACTGTGGCGCTGGGGAAGGCCCACATGTAATTTATGCAAGGGCTCCTCCACTGCAGAGAACCAGATGCTCCCCTGGTTAGGGAGAAAAGTTTGGAAATGCCTCCCAAGTGTCCCCCGAAGGCTCGGAAACTAGAGGTTAAATAAAAAGAACCCAAAATGTATTAGGGATTTTTTTTTTAACCTCATGATTTTTTAAACCACTCTTATGATTTTTGAAACCCTAACTCACAATTTTTGACCACTTGGGGCACTGGGAAACACGTCTCACCATCACATGCTTTGCATTGGGAATGGCCCAGATCGCACCAAAAGGCAGCTCTTTTAAAAACCTTTCCCCTGAGGAAGATACCCAGGATTGCTCAGTGCCTCATGCATATTTCTTCTCAGCACTGCTCAGACTCTGGCACGTCAGCCTGATCACAGAGAAAGAGGGAACATTTCGGAGGGGTTCTTTGTTAAAATATTGGCAGCTCTTCACAGTAACCCACCCTGGAATCCCTCCTGAAGCAGTCAACATCGCTCCCTTGCGAGGGTGACCAGATAGCAACTGTGAAAAACTGGGTTGGGGGTAATAGGCGCCTATATAAGTAAAAGTCCCAAAAAACGGGGCCGTCCCTATAAAAACGGAACATCTGGTCACCCTATCCCTTGCCCTTGTCATTCCCAGAGCTGCGCTGGGCTTTGTTCCCTTTGGAATGCAACATTTTGAATCATTCCAAAGAAACGCTGTTGAACAGCATTTCTAGAAACTGTGCACGAGTCGATCACAAGACACTGACATCTGCTTTCACTTAATGCACATGGACCTGCCAAAGATTCCCCATTAAGAAACACCTATGGGAGAAGAATGATTTATGCTAGATAAACCTCCCACTGAACCACTCCTAACATGGATGCTTCAGCCAGGAAGCCAATGAACTTACATTGGCTGCTCTATATTCAGAGTTTTAACCTAGAATGGCAGAAACATGCTTGCCCTGATTTGGATATTTCCATCTTTATACAAGGCAGCATTGCCTAATGGTTAGAGCACAGGGCTGTGACTCAGAAGACCTGCTGTTTTACTTCCAGCTCCGCCACTGACTGGCTGAGTCAATGTGGGCGAGTCACTGCATCGCCCTCTGCCTTGGTTTCCCTATCTGTAAAATGGGGATAATTATACTGATTTCCTTTGTAAAGTGTTTTGAAATCTACTGATGAACAGTGCCAGAGAAGCACTAAGTATTACTTTTAGGCATGGGCTTAAGAGTTCTTAAAAAAAAACGAAAACCCAAAACCCAAGCTCCCCAGGAACCCCAAAGATAAGCTGAGAAAGAGAGCAGAGCCTCACAGGCCTGCTAAAACCAAACTCTTGGCCAGGCGTAAAGTAAATGATCCTGATAATAAACTATCTTTAAAGCAACATGAACTGTTTAAAGTTGGAGGGCTGTGAACGTGGGCACCTGCTTTGCTTATAAAGTGTTCACTGGTTTTAAAACAATCCTACAAGGCTATACACAATCAGAACATGAATTACGGCCCAGCAACACCTATAAGCAAACACTTCAGAATCACAAAGTCACTGACTGCACTGCTCCCCCAGCTGATCTTTAGGGATCTTTGGTGCCTCCCACTGAGAAATCTGTGTTCTCCTTTTGCTAAGAGAGCGAGCCATCTCGTATCATATAGAGCCTTTGATTTTGTCATTAAGCTTATAAGGAGTTTGTCCACCTCAGAAACTTCCCACAGAACTCACCCCGGCTGGCATGTGGAGTGGCTTGCTGGGGGAGCTCAAGCTCAGAGCAGAGTCATGGGAGAGAGTTTGAAAAATAACCCCTGCCACCTGCTATGCGTGAGTCTTTTTAGTACCAGCCCTTCCATGCCTGGCAATTCGCAGGGAAGGATTGAATTTGAGTGTTAATTTAAAGTCAGGCGTGTATTTAGGTTTGATGCCACGTGAGACACATCATGTATTTGTTCTGGATAAAGCCTATGTTTGTATCAGTCTTTTGGATCCTAAAATGGTCCCCTATGGCCAATATACTTTTTATAGCCTGGGTAGTTGACATTCACGCAATGGGGCTCACAAGGTTTAAATAGCTTGGAGCTCTGCAGGTTGAAAGTGTTGTTTGTTTAAGGAAATTCCACCACATTGTCTAAAATGCTAATGGACTATTAAGCTCCCAACATATACCCCCTGCATTGCTGAAATCACAGAGTGCTGTAGCAGTCTATTATGAAGTGTCTAAAGAGATGAACTCAGCCATACTAGATAAGCTGACAGCCTGGACTGTCTGTAGAAAGAGAATAGAATGAGCTGGGGATAAGGACAGAGAGCCATTTAATCTTCCCAGGCTTGGTATGTAGATGAGAAATAAAGGAGGCTTTATGTAGCCTTCCTTGACATGAAAATGCTTGGCAACCAATGAAACCCTGCATTCCTTTGCTGAACACCTGTGCAGCGACTGTCGTGCATTCCACTTTGGGACATGTTGTCTCCCCCCGCAGCTTGTAGGCCAGGTGTTAGTGCGGCCCACTGCACACAATCACTGCAGAGAGCAAGCGAGATGAGAAATTTGGATCTCCGCTGGCAGCAAATTCAAGGAAGAGGTCGGTTAATGCTCTCTCACGTCTTGGTCAATAACTTCATGCTCTAGCAGTCCTGAAATATTTAGAATATGCTATTGATGACCAAGCAAGCTCGGCTGTTGGCATGTGCTTAGGAATTGCTAGCCATGCGGCATTCATCGCCTGCTTCTTCACTGCCACTCCTTTGAACTAATGAGTTAGGAAGAGAATATGCCGGGCAGGGATGAAAATATGGCTTAGGTGAACAGGACTTTGGGAGTATTCAGACCAAACTCAGCAAGTACTTCAGGCTGCATCTGTCCTGTTGAACTCTTTGTTGTTTCCAAAGCTGGGGGTTGTCCCAACTTAGGCCAACATGATCCTGGGGAGGAGGTGTGACTAATTGCGCGGGGTTCTGTGGTCTGTGTTGTTTGACCGTTTACGATAGCTTTTAGACTGATTCTGCAAAAGATGGGGCCAGTCATAGCAAAGGGGTTGCTTGCTAATAAAAATTATTTGAAAAGATCCTTTGGGAGGTTTCTTACTTTGGAGATACAGTTAGACAAGCTGCACCGGCAGAAATACACCTCCTGACCTGAAACAGCATGGTCACGGCGCTAAAGCCATCAAGCTACTCTGTGGGTAGTCATGTGGGGCACTCACAATGTGGCTTGGCAAGGAAAGGCGTGCTTAAAAATTAAGGCCAAGATTTTAAAAAATGGTGGGGGGAACCTCAACTTAAGCTCCTAAATCCCTATTCTAGGCTCCTAAATCCTTCCTTTTCAAAAGCGCTTATCACCCAGCACCCCCCATTAACATTTATGGAGGTCTTCGGCGCCTAAATGTCAGCACCCATTTTTAAAATCCTAATTTAAATGTATTATTATTATATTTCATGCATTATTAAAATTACGGGCTTGATTGCGCAGTCCTTACTCAGGCAAAGCTCCCACTGACATCCATTGAAGGACAGCAAGGTCACGCCTTACATTAGGAAAGATAGAGCCAGTGTAGTTTGTTTTTTAAAAATGTTTTTTCCCCTTAGTGATCAACAAATGCTCGAGCAATCCCTGCCAGAATGGTGGAACTTGTGTGGATGGAATAAACCAGTACAAGTGCATTTGTCCTCAAGGGTGGACTGGTGAGAACTGCCAGTACCAGTCACAAACAGGTATGTAACCTGGTGAGGTGTGAAAGAGAAAGAGACTCGAGCAAGGCAGACAACGAATTACAAGGCAGAAGCCCCTGCCCATTCTCAGATATCAGCCTTCCATTGTGGTAGCACTAAGAGGCCCACTCCCATTGTTCAGGGCGCTGTACAAACACTGAACAAAAGGAGAGTCCTTGCCCCTGCGTTTCCAAAGACTGTGCACTTTCAAAAATCTGACCCTATCTCATCAAGGAGGAGAAAAAATGTCAAAGTATAATTCCCAGTGATTTTCAATAAGACTTAAGCTCCTCGGGGCGAGATTTTTAAAAGTATTTGGGTGCCAAAAGATGCATAGAGGCATCTAGTGGAATTTTCAAAAGGGCCTTTAAAGATCTAGGCCTAAGTGCTTAAGTTGCATTTGAAAATGGGACTGAGACTCCTAAGTGATTTAGGTACTTTTGAAAACGTTACTGCAGGCCTGTGAGCCAGGTGTCCAAGAAGCACTTTAAAATTTCCTGTCTTCTCTCTTTTAGCCCCACCTGCATGGAGTGTTACAAACGACCCAGCTTTCAGTCGCAAGCCACGCTGTGCCAAAATCGACAGGACCCAACACTGCAGCTGCGAAGCCGGCTTCCACATGAGCGGCACAGCCGACAACAGCATATGTCAGGGTAGGAGATGAGCAGAAATATCCACCGGCAGCTTTCACCAATCTGCTGCCCAATACACACACAGCACATCTAAGCAGCTGAATATTCATTAGCTGCAGCAGCTTTTATGGATGATTGCCATGGAGAGGGCTGCTTGGAAGAGGCTAAGGCTTTGTCTACGCTGGACTTTCGTCGGCAAAACGTTTGTCGTTTAGGAGTGTGAAAAAACACCCCCCACAAACGACAAAAGTTTTGCCGACGAAAAGCGCCTGCTTGAACAGCGCTGTGTCAGCAGGAGGGCGCTCCTGCCGACAAAGCTACTTCTGCTCTCGGGGGGTGGAAGGTTTCTGTCGGCGGGAGAGCTCTCTCCCGCCGACAAACAGTGGCTACACTGCGTGCCTGCTAGCGGCACGGCTGTCGCAGCACAGCTGTGTTGCTAAAAGGTGCGTTGTGTCGACATGGCCTGACTGTGTTCTATTTGCTGATGGCTGGTATCTAGCTGGTATTGAACTGGCCTTATTGACTGTAGTTGCTCAACAGAGCTGCCTTTTTCCTTTAACTGTATAGATTGCATCATGGCAAGAATATGGCACAAGACTCTGTACATTTCTATTCAGCACCTTATGGTAGGGGAGGAACCCATCCCTGGACCTCCTAGAAGCTCTAGAATGTCACTAGCCAGTATTCAGACGTGACTGGTGATTTGGGGTGCCTCCCTGGGGGGGTGCTGCACTCGAGACACCTTTGAGGGCCCTGGTGTTCGGAGGGCAGGTGCTCCAGCGTGTTCTGCACATCAGGCTCCTTTAAGGTGTCTCAAGATGGGTACCCAAAAATGGAGGCTCCTCCAAACCCTAGTCACTTCTGAAAGTCCTGGGTGATCTGGCTTAACAACATGTGGGCTGGATGGGCGCCATTCCCCAGTGCCTCCGGATATCCTGGCGGTGCTCTTTCACATGGCGGGAACATTTTCCCTCCTTTCTTTTTGCTCGGAGACATCTCTTTTGCCTTATTTCTATTTTTTTTTTTAACATTGCACTGAGCTATGTGCTGAAGCTATGATCTCCACCTAGGTCTGTGCTCTGGTCTCATTTCATAAATGAAGGTGCTTGGAGACAGTACTTGGACAGGAGACCGCTGAGGAGAATCCAGGCGCTTCAGGAGATGACATTTTCCCTCTGAGTCAGTATGGGACCAGTGTCCCAACATGTTGTTCAGAGACTCTGTGCTTCTGGAGGTGCCATCTTTTGGCTCAGACACACAATCAAGATCTTTGTAGCCATTTAAGATCTCCTGGCATTTTTTTGCAAGCAGAGTGGAAATTACAGTGCATTCTACCTACTGTAAATCACTGCATTGCCATTTCAATTGGCTAAGGCATGGACACCCAAACTGGCGACAGCCAGAACCTCCTGGAAACTCACCAGGAACCCAAAATACATTTTTGAGATCAAAAATAAATTACCATCGCCCTACTATTTGCTTAGAATCTGTAAATCAGTGCGTTGTGGTCTGTGGATAAAAGGGACTGGATAAATGCCAAGCATTTTAAACCCAGCTAATCTAGTTATGACTATTGCAATTGGGGGCATCCCAAGAACTCCATAACTTGCAAAACCCAGCACACTGGCTCTTTTGTTAAGGAAATTCTAGTCCAGTTTGCGTGCACATTTTGCATGGCCCGTGGCCTGCGTACTGCTCGCTCGTATTGTCGTATAGTGTGGGCTAGAATCAAGCCAGCCGGCCCCAAAGCAGGGGTGAGTCAGATTTCATCCCACACACCACTAAGCACAGAAATATCTTTGCTTGGTAACATTGTGCCTTTGCAGTTTCACTAGGTTCTCCATGGTGGTCCACTCCTGGCCACTCTTGGGAGGAAACAAGCAGTTTGCTGCTATTCCCGGGTGCTCTTGTCCGGCAAAGAGCAAAATGATTGTCAGCAGGAATTCTTTGCTGGGATGGACCCTTTTGTTCAGGGTCTGCGTTGTATGGGACAGTGTGTTTCCTCTGCAGATGTAAATGAGTGTGAGGTTTACAAGCTGGAGGGAGCCCCTCGTCTGTGCATGCACGCCTGTGTCAACGTTCCTGGCTCTTACCGCTGCTCCTGCCCCAGTGGATACAAGCTCCTCGGAGACGGGAAAAGCTGTGAAGGTGAGCCAGCGCTCTCAGATAGCTAGGCATGGCAGTCCGTGGCCTGCTGCAGGAAACGAAAGTACGTTTGCAGAAGCTGTATTATTTTCTGATTTCATGTGTAACTTCCTGTCTCAAAGACCTGCTGGGTCCAGCCGAATGTGTGCAGAGATTTTATAGATAGGAAGACTCCCATTGACTTCACTGGGCTGAAATCTTCACATGGTGTAGTTGACTCCAGGATTTTACCCTGTCTGTATCCATTGTTAGAGCTGGGTGGAGAGTGGTAATTCCAGGCTGCCAAGGATCAGTGAGCCTGGGAGCTGGGGCTTCAGCCTCCAAGGCCGACTGGTGAGGAGCCAGCAGGTGAGCTGCCAGGAAACCAGGTGGAATTTCGTCAAAATGGACACATTCCTGAATCTTGTGGAAGGTGTGTCTTTAATAAAGCTGGTCAAAAAACGTCCTTTTCGCTTCCATTTTTTACCTTTTTCTACCCTTTCCCAATGGAAAAAAAGTGGGGGAGAGAGGTAAAAGGGAGTGGCAGTGGGATTTTCCCCACTCAAACTGTGCTTTGTTGAGTCAAGGCCTCGGTGCTTCCAGCTCTCCCGATTTTATCATGAGTCTTGCAATATTAGGCGTTTTTCTGAAAGCCCCAGCTCCAGGCATCAGGTGGCTTGGTGAGAATCCCCGCTGCTCTTTACACAGAAGTCAGGGTCTGGCCCTCCTTGCTGTGGAGAAAAGCGAGGGAAGCGTGATTCTAATAGCTCAAAACCCAGGAGGGTCATAAAAAGAAACCAAGTTCAAAGGAGTATTTTTGTGGTCTGGCTCATGATTTTTCAATGCTCCGGGGCCTAAGCACCGACTCTGTGGGTGCTCCAGGGCCAGAGCATCCATGGAAAAAAACAAGTGGGTGCTTAGCACCCACCGGCAGCCAAGCTGCCCTCCTCCCCTGCCAGCGCCTCCCATCTGCCGGTAGCTCCCCCGGTTAACTCCTGCCCTTCCCTCCCAGCCCCTGCCAGGACCAGCTGTTCATCCCATCACAGCAGTTGGCAGGTCAAGTGAAAGGGCTTCGCTCCACTTGAAACCCTGTAGTGTAGACGCAGCTGGTGCCGACGGGAAGGGTTCTCCCATCTGCATAGTTAACCCACCTGCCCGAGAGGAGGTAGCTAGGTTGAAAGAAGGATTCTTCCATCAACCTAGCACTGTCTACACTGGGCTATAACCCCTCCTTCCAATTTCCAGCCTATATTTGTTCATGGCCAGTTTATCCCCATTTGTTCTTGTGCCAACATTTTCCTTTAGCTTAAATTGCTCCTCACCCTCCCTGGTATTTACCCCCCGGATGTGCTTATAGCGAGAGTGATCAGAACCCCGCTCAGACTCCAATTTGCTTGGCTACGTTCTTTCTGCCTCCTCTCATAAAACAGGCCCTCCATTCCACTGATCATCCATGTAGCCCTTCTCTGCACCTGTTCCAATTTGAATTCACAAGAGAAAAACATGGCTGGTTATTTTAAAAGATTTGACTCGACCTGGTTGAAATTGTTTGTGTGAACAGAGTTTCCTCAAAGAATAGCCTTTTTTCAAAAATTTATTCTGAAAAAGCATCAGTTTTGTCAAAACGTGGTGGTTTTTTGTGAAAAATTTAGTGCCTTTTAATTTTTTTGGGGGGGGAGGAGCAGTTACTGAAAACATACAATTTTTGATACTGCTTTGGTAAGATTTTCAATTAAGATATTCTATCCATATTTTTAAAAACAAAACAAAAATAGGTCAGTTTCAAACCACTCTGTAATTTTGAAATTTGTCGCAAAAATAGGTTTTCATTTGTCTGCTCTAGTTTAGACCTTTCATTGATTTTCCTGGGCTAGCAAGGATTAACCTATCTACGGACAGAGGTTATAGTACAAAAAGCATCCCATGATGTGCCAGAAGAACAGAAGAAAGGAAGAGATGGAGAATGCTAGTGTTTCCATCAAGTCTGATTTTCATTAGATTTTTTTTTTTAAACTCACTTTGCTGGAGACGGGGGATGTGTATTTAGAAGGTGCTGACTGCGAGGTAAAGAGAGGAAGAGGGATCAGGTGAAAATTGCTACTATCATGTTTTCTTCCTTAACCATTTAACCACTTTAGAAGCTGTTCTGATGGTAATAGGCTAAAAGGAGACAAGAGCAGCCTCTGAGCCAAAAACTCAAATCTCCCCAGTAACGAGATGAAATGTAGGTGGACAAGAGTGAGTGGTAATGGAGTAAATCAGTGTTAACCCTTCCAGCTCAGTAAAACAACATTTAACGTTCATTACAATTGTTTCTAATGAGGCAGATCTAACGCGAGGGGAGTTGGAATGTCTCTGACCACGCAAACAGGGCGGAGTCGCACTGCTGCGGGAAGTCTTCCAAGGGCAAATTTACTCTAAAAAAATGACCCCTTCTTTCTCTTCGTAAAAGGGAGCATGTTTTATAGGAGTCGCTGAAGGTCGGCGGCCATGTCAGGCCCTCAGTGCCAACCGATGGTCACTTTTCTGCACTTCGAGTGGTTTCCTCTGGCGCTTTCTGTTCGAATCTCGCTGTTTTGCAGATATAGACGAATGCAGCCTGTCCCAGCACAACTGCACCAGGGGCATGACGTGCATTAACACAGGAGGAGGCTTCCAGTGCGTCAGCGCCGAGTGCCCTCGGCCCAGCGGCAATGCCAGCTATGTGAAAACGTCGCCATTGTGAGTAGTAGGGGACTGCAAGAGAATCGACCCCCTGGCAACGCCAGAGAAAACAGCCCATGGCTGAAAAGCTCGACGGGGTATTTACCTTTTTGAACGACAGTGTTAAAACAGGCCTGCTTTGGGGAGATCACTGTCACCACCGAGGACAGGGCTCCTCTGAGGAGAAAAACTCCCTTCCCAGGTTGTTCGGCTGGAAGTTAGTTCAATTCTTCATTTGGCTAAATCCAAAATTGGGGAGCATCTTGCAGAGGGGTGCACTAGTTCAAACAGGAATTCATTCAGGGAGATCCTGTGGCCTGTGCTAGACAAGAAGACAACCTAGATGGTCACTCACAATGGCCCCTTCGGGCCGCATCATTGATGAATATAGGGTTAAATACCATTCTCCAGGTGAAATCTTGGCCCTGCTGATGTCAATGGCAAAATTCCCATTGATTTCCCTGGTTTCCACCCTCAGCTTCACCTAGCAGATCTCAGCAGCAATACCCAGCCCTTCTTAATGCCTTGGTCTCCTCCAGGCGTGACTGAGAGATCTGTGTGTGACCCACTGGCCAACATGGGTTTCATGTCCCCTGCCGTGTCTGAGCCACACCGGATGGCTGCTACATCTCCGTTCTATCTCCCGCTCTCTTCAGCTCTGTCTAAGCTGCAGCTGGGAACGGGCCTCGCGCCTGGGGAGACAGACTCCTGCTAGCTCTGCTCAAGCTGGCGCACTCAGAATAGCAGCATGGCTATCGTGGTGCAAGCCTGGGCTACTCCCTGGAGCTCAGACCCAGCAGGCAGGATGGGGGGGCCTAAGCTCAGGTGGCTAGCCTGAGCCTCTGCTGGTGCCGCAATGTCCACACAGCTAGCCCAAGCCCCACTAGTACAATCTGCCTCCCCAGGCTGGGAGGCTGGCTCCCACCTCTCGTGTAGACATACCCGGAGAGGCTCGTGCTTCTAGGCTGGGGGGCCCTAGTTCAGTGGCTGGCGGGCCACTTTCTGTCTGTTACAGAGGTATAAATCCAAACTCATTTCATTGACTTCAGTGGAGATCCCATAGACTTACATTGGTGTAACTAAGAACAGAATTTGGCCCCTGGTCTGCTACTTTTCAGGAATCCAAGCCATGAAGGTGCTGCCTCAGATCACTAGGGCCGTGAGTCTCCTGGGGCTTGCGGGGTTCGTATGTGAGCATTGCTTTATCACCAGGCTACTTTGGGGAAGGTGCTTTAGTAAATGGGTGGGCAATAAACATGACAGTTCTTCCCATGATCGTTAATGGCGCATCAGAAACAGAACAGAACACAACGGCCCAACCACAACAACTTAAGTGCACAGGCTCTTCCCGCTTCCAGGATTGCCTTAACCCTTGTTCTTTCTTTCATTGCTAGCCAATGTGAACGCAACCCCTGCCCAATGGACAGCAGATTGTGCCATCATGCCCCAAAGTCCATCTCCTTCCATTATCTTCCTCTGCCTTCCAACCTAATAACCCCCACCCCTCTCTTCCGCATGGCAACTGCCTCCGCCCCAGGCCGGCCTGGGCCTGACAGCCTGCGCTTCGGGATTATTGGGGGCAACAACCGAGGGCATTTCGTGATGCAGCGCTCCGACCGTCAGACAGGAGAACTGATCCTTGTGCAAAGCCTGAAAGGACCCCAGACCATCGAGGTGGAGGTGGACATGTCTGAGTATCTGGATCGCACCTTCCAGGCGAAGCATGTCTCCAAGATCACAGTGTTCGTGTCTCCCTATGAGTTTTAAAGAGACACAATTTCTGCAAGTCAGCAAATAAACAGCCGCAAGGACTGTTCCTGTTCATCTCTCGCTTTCTTTCAGCACTGACTCGAACGAAATTCCTTCCTTTCGAAATGATGAAAGGCCACGGCACTGCAGCAGTTCTACAAAACAGGACCTTAAAAGCCCAGTGCTGAGAGACAAGACAAACCACATTACTCTGGCAATGCCAGGATGGGGCTTGCAATAATCTCAGACTCACTTGTTCTTGGGAAGTTTTGACTCCGGACACTTCTGACTTTGCTTCTCAACATCTTCTGTAGCACATGCCTCCAGGAACCCTAATCACAGTAACAGAGATGTAGCAATGAAATCCAGATTATAGCCTATATAAACCTCCATAGGGTAAATATCCTTCCATCAGATTTCAGGTTGATTTGTCCGCTCCGTCTCCTGGCTGGTTTTACACTCACGGACATGGAACGCAGCCAGTGAAGTGTGAATGACATCATATGCGCTCCAGCAGCTGCGCCCGCCCAGAAAGCCGCCCTGCCCTGCCGTCAGACTAGCAGCAGGCCGCGTGCCCCGCAGCCATCAGTGACACCTCCCCACCAATTGAAAACCGGGCTAGTGTGACATCTTTGAACAAAGGGATGTTGCTTATAACTCACTCCTTTGTCCTCATCCAATCCCCTTAAAAAGGCCTCCCGAAGCATTTGCCCCAATAAAGGGTTGAAGTCTGTAGATGTCAATTAACTAAGGCCACAAACATTTTTTAGAAAACTCAGTTGAATCAGTTTGCTGAATAGGAGCGTACACAAGTACAAAGAGACAACAGCACAGGCTGGGCTTGGTACCCAGCGCTGTAAGATTCTCTGCAAGATAGCTCCGGGCGAGTGGCTCCGGTTCTCCTGTCGGTCTAGTTCTGTGTGTTGCTACCGAGCGCAGTCTACCAAGGGCATGATCGTGCTCCCATTCAAATCAGGGTGGGAAGCTGCCCTCAGTGCAGCGGTGCGGGATGAAGTTCCTTGAGTTCTGAATTGCACAACAATGTGTGGGAGTTCTGTGGTGTGGCTGGATCTCCAGGGGAGTAGACTAAGACGGCCAATTGCTTTCACTGGTAACATAACCAGAGTTAGAATCCAAGTCTCATGTTTGGCACAGTGTAACATGGCACCAAAATAATCCACATCAATAGCCCAACATGCTACAATTACAGATTACAGTCAGTAGGTAATAGTACCTTGACTCCCTCCCCGAAAGGGCTAAGGTATTTGTGGCTTTATTAACAGAAAACACCCATCACAGATAGCATGGAGATACCATTTGTCCTTTAAAAAAATATAAAAAGTCAAGGTCTGTTCTACTCTCTGTCATGAGCTATTTGCCTTCTTAAAGAAACATTTCAGAGTAAGAGTATTTGTTAAAATATATATTTATGAGAAAGCAATTAAGGTTCAAATTCCTCTTATGAAAATACCCTTTGAATTGTAATAGATGCTAAGCTTTCTAAATTTTGATCTCTCCCATAGAGTTTGATGGCGCCCCCAATCCCCACCCCCTTTTAATGGAGCCCTGCTATAGAATTCTCTTGGATGGTTCTAAAAACTATTGGAAGGAGATCATTCTGTATTAAATTCTAGGGGCCAGATCCTGAGCTAGTGTGAATCAGCATAGTTCCATTGATTTCAGTGGAGTTACTCCAGATGTGTACTGAGCTCACAATTTAGACCCAAACCGCCTCTTTTTATACATTTTTTTTCCCCCTGCGCTCACATCAGACAATGAAAATGGCCGGTTTTGTGACATCACCCCACGTCTTGCATTTGGAATGCAGAATAGCGGGTGCTATCTTACAGTGCTTGGGACACATTCTGGTCCCAGTTTCACTCCTGCAGCCCTAGAGAAGCACATAGGTCAAATTTGCCCCGGGGGTAAATCAATGGCGTTAATCCTGGGAAGAATTTGGCTCAGTGGGTTGATAAACAATGGAGCTGGCAGCAGAATGTGGTGTGCATTCAGCTGCCATCCAGCTAGGGATTTGGGTTTTTTGTTGGTTTGTTCATTTTTTAAGCCTGCTCTCATCACCTGGGTACCTCAGCACGTTACTCCAAGGGCTGCTTCTCAAGCTTCCTTCATCAACAAGACGAAATGTGTCTGTTTCTTTCCAGCACCTGCACCCTGTGGTGAGAGGTTCATGCTCCTTCCTTTTATGCTACAGTATCATCAGACAGAGGAAGGAGACTAGAGGCCATGCTCACATGTCTACATAGGAGGGTCTGACACATACCACCTACTCGTGCTGACGGCAATTCCCCAAGGAAACCCCTTCTGCACATTCATGGGCAACTCGGACTCACAGACGTTCCCCCAAGTGGGGCTTGAGCTAATACCACTGAGGGCAATGGGAATCTTGCCCTTGGGTTCAGTGGGCTTTGGATCAGATCTCTGGTGCACAGCCCCACAAATAACCCTGTAGTGGCGTGGTTAGTATTGGACCCTGGGCATTTCTTTTCCCTGGCAAGTGGTACCAATATTGGGCTAGATTCTTCACTGGTGTAGTTGGGAGGTAGCTCCATTGAGACACTCGCCTGCACCAGCGAAGACTCTGGCCCATTATCTTTGCGTAATCCTGAAGCAATTTACATCTGGAGTTTGCAATCCACTTGTTGTTTAAATACACATGCACTTGGGACGTTGCTTTGTAGGCTTTCTACCAGTCCGATAACATATCTCAGGCTTAGCCCTGTGCAGCTGTGTTACAGCCGGATGCAACCACCCCAGAGACAGACGACAGGCTCTCTCTCCTGTCCGTTCAAGCACAGATATCTGCAGCCAATGGGGCAGACGTGCACTTCCCCTGGGGGCTCCAGGAGCGCTCCAGCACAGAGAGGCCGGGAACCAGAGAACACACTGGTGCCCTGTTGCTGTGCAGGGGTATGAGGGAGCCCCTGGCGCCTCAGCCCCTGACTGACCTTTCACACCCCTTGAGCAGTAAAGCACAGCCTGGCCCTCTACAACGCCTTGTGGGCAATCATAATACCCAGTTTTCATAGTACTTTTCATCAGTGGATCTCAAAGTGCTTTACTCCCGTTTTACAGATGGGGAAACTAAGTCATGGAGAGGTGAAGGGGCTTCCCCAAGATCACCCAGCAGGCCAGTGGCTGATTATCTCCTGAGTCCCAGTCTAGTGCTCTAGGCACTTCCCCTTCAAGAAATGAGTTGTGTCACATCTTCAAACCAATTCTGTGGCATTGGAGGGAGTTCATTGACTTGTCAAGTAAATGAAACTGCAGAGACAAAACAGCGCTGCTTCCCCCCCTCCCCGGCAATTGCCCCTCCCCGGCAATCAGTGTTGCTGGATATGGAGGTCACAGATGAGCTCTCCGAAATGTTCTTAATTTACTGTACGTGTCCCATCCTGGTTCCCACTGCTGGTCAGAAGGCCACTGTCTCTCAGCTCTGTGCTGGGCAATGAATGAGGGAGAAAGAAGAAGATAAACATGTTTCCTATCAGCGCTCAGTGTGACCCTGCTGGCCAGGGCATGTGAGCTTAATCAATCGAATGCAGCCGAACCCCTCGCCCGCCTTTCAGTAAAAGACCAGTTCCCCAGAGCTACTCAGTTGTAAGTACTGTCGGCTGGACTGGGCGAACAAATGCCCTGTGGCTAAACTGGATTTCATAAACACGCTGCTTCTTTTGGCCGCTTCCCCTCAATATCCTGGCACAGCTTTTCCAGTCACTCAAACGAAATAAAACCAAGAGGCGCTCAGATTGCTGGGTGCCAATAGGAGAACCTGCATATAGAGAGGGATCCCTCCTGGCTAAGCAGCAGTCCATACAGCTCTGGGTTTGAGAGTGGCCTTGGGCTTGATTTTGAGACCTAGTCCATGACAGAAGTGAGCTGGTTGGCCCGCGCTTGGAGGACTGGGAGATTTAAACTGTGCAGCCACGTGAGCAGCCTAGAGCAGCTCTAGGACAGGCATGGCCAATGCCCACAGCCATAGCTGGCGCACTAGGATGGCCATCAGAAGCTAGGTGGGGGGGAGGGGAAACAAGTGACAGCTTCAGAAAGAAACAGGGGAGGAGAATTGAGGTCAATGTTTCAACCAGAATTTGGATCAGGGTCAGGCTGGGGGCAGAGACACCCATGCTCAGAGGCCCATGGGCTGCTACTGCCAGGAACTTGAAAATGAATGAAACGAGCAAGCCAGAAGGTGCTGGAATGGAAATGAGATCAGCAGCACAAGCTTCTCCCGCATAGCAATAGATAAGGGGGCTGCATCAGAGCAACGGGCCAGTCTTCACACTGTAAAAAGATTCAGGCAGACAAGGGAACCACAGGACAGAATGAAAAGGCTCCCCAGAAACCCTGAAGCCCAGTGCCAGCCTGCAGCATCTGATCTCCTTCCTGCTGATCCAGGGTGGGGTCTGGAGCGTCTTTAGCATTCTCAGCTCTGGGACAATAAGGAAGAGAATGCAGCCTAGAGCAGATGGTAGTAAGTTATACAGGATGGCAGCGTCAGATCCAGACTTCAGTGGCTCAGAGTCAGCCCTTTGTAGCTCAGCCACTGGGAAACTGAATTTCTGAGCTTTATAAAGTGACAACATTCAAATCATTATTGTTCTGAGGTTGTTTATCCTAGGGCCAGAGAGAGACTGGGCAGGGGAAACAGTTCTGACTGTTTAGAGTGTGTGCGTTAATTAAAATGGTTTCTAGTAAGAATGGCTAGTGACAGTTGTTGTCATCATCTTGTCCCACAATGATCATATCAGGCCATGAAGTTTGAGAATGAATTGGGAGACTCACACGGGGTCCTCTGGAAGGGTGTTTGATCTGAAAAGCTTCACTTTCCTTGCAATATTACATCAAACAGTGTGGGAAAGTGTTAAAGCATGCTCCGGACACAGCTTGCACAGCGGATATATCTTGGTCCCTTCTCTGTTGATTTTCATTCCTGCAGTATGCCCTATTTGCAATCTCACAAGAGCAGATGTTATTTCCCAAGTTGCTTTGTCACAAATGAGGCGATCCTGGCAAGTTGCAGCCTTGCACCAGCAGAGAACAAGATGACTGCAATGGTGAGATCATGTCCAATGTGCAGAAGAAGGTACCCTTCTGCAGAAGGTTTAAAGAGTTGAGGCTGAAGGATGTAGAGCATGAGGTCAGCCACAAATGAGCTTGGAAGATGCCATTTTTGAGGGATTTAAGAAGCCTGAGTCCTCCCATACTGACTTGTCTTCTTTCAGCTGATAATAGCAACATTTACAAGTTAATACAAAGATTAGAAATCCATTCGAGGGCTTCAGGAGATGCAGAGTGCACCTTTGCTAGACCTCCTGGGAATGAAAAGATGGGGCACTTCTTCACAATATGTTTGATGCTTTGGAGGTTTCCACATTCACACTGTGGTGAATCGTTG